TGAAAATTTCCTCCAGTCTTCCTAAAGTGTTCCCACTTCACGTGGACATAGAGCATAAGGCTAGCTATATCTAAGACCTTAAGGTTGTTTCACTAGACTTGAAGTGAACTAAATAAAATCATTAGAAATCCCGTTGCGTGAAAAGCCAGAACGGGATTTCATTTTCATGTTGATGACTTCCCAGACAACCAGAAGTCGTACAATAATGTACAGACAGTATCGTAAATTGCTACAGTTTTAATCAAAATCGCACATATGAATGGCATACCTCGCATTATGTTTGAGTTAAATCGTATAGAATGCAAATTTTCGACCAATATGCGATGACTCATTTTTCCATCGTACTGTATCACAAATTAAATCGTATTACATCGGAAGACTTTTCAAAATGAGTTTGTTATTACAGATTAGATCGTGTATGATGTTTAATCAAATCGTTTAAAATTAAATTGAAATATACACGTATATGGCCTCCATTTTTGTACGTATAAGCCATTTATTTGCATTATATACGCATTTTTTGTTTGTATATATGTTTGTATATCACGAAAACAACTTTGAATATACGTGCATTCTGGTTTCCTGGGTTGGACTGACTCAACTCAAAGTTATTTTGTCAATTCATCTTTGATCTGATCCAGGAATTCACCACTGGGCAGACCTTTCATGACAACTTTGAACAGATGTTCAGTTGCTTCTCAGTAAGATACTTTGGAAGACGTTTCAACCCGTTCAAGCTTTCAGCCAATATATGGCATTCACCCCTACGGCCAATTTGAAGTGAAAACTTGAATTTAACTAAGTTCAACTGTTCCGTGCGAAGAGCATGGAAATCGGTAGTCGTTGTCACAGTAGGGGGGGACCTTTTCCTTCTTGGCCTTAAGCTGAGAATGTTTGATGGAATTTTTCATGGATGATGGATCATGCTCATCATCCTTGAGCATATCAAATTGATTGCTCAAATAAATTTCATCAGAAGGGGGATCCAGAGATTGCCCTTTTCTTTTGCGTTTAAGCGCCATGGCGGCAGTAAATTTTTTATCCAAATCGACTTCCAAGCAGATTACTATAAGAATCTGAAAGATCGAAGAGGAATTTTAAAAATCGATATCAAAGCAGGATTACCTCGTTTAGGGTTCAAACAACGATTGAATAAGAATAAGAATCGAACTAGGTAGACATTTTGCAGGTTATATTTAGCATTGAGAAGTGCTGTATAAATTTGTTATAGTAACACTTCCTTCAGTAAAAAGCAAATAGATCCGCACGGCTGACTGATCAAAACCGAATACTTTGTAACTTATCAATAGTGATGGAGTCATAAAACGTGCACTAAACTAAGGACACGGGATATACTACAATAGATCAAATTACTGGTAGCAGTGGTTTTATGTTCTGAATAGAGGGAAAAAATTCAAGGACGCAACCAGGAAAGGTTTTTAAAAAATAAAAGTTTAAGCAAGTTCGGAGAAATGTATGCCAGAGCGTAAAATTATTGACTGCTTAGGCTGAGTGTGGGTACTATCACGGAAGAATAAACGTGCTGACTGAGTGCTCAGCTGTCAGTGACTCGTTAACGTCCCAATAATTCAGACTCTCACGAGGCAGTGAATGATGAGGCGGACGGCAGTTCATATTCATATTAAAAAGACTCATTTAACCTGACTGTTTCGTGCACTGGTGTGTGCTTCAATCCAACATCCTGAATATTATGTGCACCTGTCTTACGTTCTCTGGACCCTGCCTGTATTTTGTCACAAACGACACTGACGTTAGCACTAACTCAAAATTTATTCGGAGTTCACTAATTTTGTTAAAAGCGGGGGAATGCTTATTTTATTTAGAAGTTACCTTCGCTCCCAAAATTCATCATGGATGGGTAACGGTTATTCAGGGGCTGCTCATAAAACACGCATACCCATTGAGGGGGGACGGGTTGTCGAGTCTCTACGTTGCATACAAATCAATTTCCAGAATTTGGTATGGACAATCGTCTACGTAGGGGTAGGGGAAGAGTTTCTGAAACCTCTCAAAAACTGTCTACACAGCAAAAAAATAATTTTGATATTACATCAAAGTGGATGCAATTCAATCGTGTCGAAAATATGGTGTAATATTACTTGCCAAAAAGGACAAACTTATCATAAACACAGTGCATGAACTGACATTACGTTGCTTTTACTGCATTTCTTTACTGTTGTGGCCATAAAAATTACATGAGATTTTCGATATAATTGAAGTGCATCCTCTTGGATGTAATATTAAAATTTATTTTTTGCTGTGTACGTAGTTTATGAATAGCCCCTCATTTTTAGGCTACAAATTTAACCTATCCAATAGACACGATAGCTTTTTGGAAAGATGTAGTGGATAAGAACAAATTAAAAAAAATGGTATACAAATTTGTTACCTCTTTTTTAGCGTGTGGTTTTTGCTAAAATGGGGAAAATTTAACTCAATTAGTTATTCTCAGCGCCCGTGTAAGAACTTTTCATAGAAGTCATTAAGACTTTTTTAAGGCACTTCGACCTTCAATCCTCTGAGCTTATCTTTGAGATTCACTGCTTGTGCAGCCCTCGGAATGTGTCCTAGAACTACTGCATATCTTTCTATATATCTATATATATATAAATGAATTTCTGTCTGTCTGTCTGTCTGTCTGTCTGTCTGTCTGTCTGTCTGTCTGACCCTTATAGACTCGGAAACTACTGAACCGATCGGCGTGAAAATGTGTATGCAGGGGTTTTTGGGGCCGGTGAAGGTTCTTATGATGGTTTGAGACCCCTCCCTCCTCTGTAAGAGGGGGCTCCCATACAAACTAAACAGAAATTTCTGCATAACTCGAGAACTAATCAAGCAAATGGAACCAAATTTGGCATGTAGAGGTCATAGAGGTAGCCCCTTAGATAAAGGGGGGGGGCTATGTAAAATATAGCATCCTTTTTTTAATTGGTGCGTAAACTCAAGCTAATATTGAATCCCGAGCAAGGCCGGGCACACTCAGCTAGTGTATATATAAAAATTAATTTCTGTCTGTATGTCTGACCATTATAGACTCGGAAACTACTGAACCGATCGGCGTGAAAATGTGTATGCTGGGGTTTTTAGGGCCAAGAAAGGTTCCTATTATGGCTTGAGACCCCTCCCCTCTATGTAAGGGGGGGGGGCTGTTTTGCGACATTTTTTTTTTTGTCATTTTTGCACATAAAACGGGTTGTGAAGCTCTATAATTTGTGTTATTGTTATAATAGGCACTTTTCATTTTAACACTTTTGGGTCATCCTTGTAATTTTAACTCGTGACTTTGGGATGAGAAGTATGGATGTTAAACACTACACCAGAGCCACCTCAAACTAGATATATATTCTGCACAAAGTGATTATTATGAATTAAAGACGGCACGCAACTTTCTCTGTGAAATATTGCAATATTCTAAGCTCTAACAAATTAACTAGGAAGTCTTCTAGTCCAGCTTATTAACTCTTCAATGGGTAATTTAATATGAAAATACGATTCCTTTTCATTGAGAAACACTAAACAATTGAATTTGTAAAATTTGTTTCTATTTCATCACTTCATTTGTATCACAGTTCATTCACATTTAGGTTCGATAACCATTAGTTAATCATGTAGCCAATAATATGTCACTAATTTAGTCTCAACATACAAAAATATTCGAACGAAACTGAACGTACATTCCCCCTTCCTAAACTCCAACACACCACCCATAATCTCGTGGGCTGAAATTTCTCATCCTCTACCCGGTACGTTTTGCTGTGATGCCTTCTTTAACTCTTCTCACACATTCCTCATGTCCGGATCCGACAGCCGAGTCACCGGCCACTAGCGTGCGGTTACGTTCATCCACCAATAATGCAAGTGACCCCGGTGCCAACGGTGGCCCCTCGAGCAGTGCCGAGGCCACCAGTAGCAAAAATAGCTCACTGATCGCACAAATCACTAGCCTACCGGGGTTCGATCCGACGAAGGCACGCATTGTCAAGCACGTTTCAAGCAAGTTCACTTCCTCCTCCTCCAATACTAACATCGGCGCAAGCAGCCATGGCAGAGACGCTGCCACTATCACGACTAGGCCGTCTCTCGAGCGACCGGAACGTCTCTTGCCGACGGCTGCCGAATCGTTCCTTCCCTGGCGTAGGGATCGATCGTATCAGAGTTTTGGTACGTGTCTCGCAGCTCCGTAGCTTTGTTATTTTACGCTTTGGTTCATGCGCAATTTGTTCCTATTGTGTTATATATTTTTTTGCAACTGAACGACCGCAACTTAACGAACCTTATTATTTGACTTTTTAGAAGTTTGTTCCAAACTTAGTTACTGGTTATGTTAATTTCAGAGTTTTAAATTGGCTCCATAGTTTAGCCATGTTAGAAAAATCCAACTCACAGTTTTTTGCATGTCTTACACGAATAGGTTAACAAAATTTGTTTAAAGAATATCCAAATAGATTAAATCAACACCCACAGCAGCTCATTGCAGATATTTCAAACGATAGAATTCTCATTAGAGCCAAACGAATATGTAGTGCTATTCCAAATACCTTTTAAACATATTTCTACAGATGGAAAGATACTGTATACTAGTGTCGATAGGCTCCCAGCAATCTTCTTAGAACCTATATCGCAACTTCCATGCCGAATTCTATCCAAAAATCCAACCCACTAATCCACCGCGGCTACGCCTTAGCAATTCTTAAACCCTCAAATACACACACACACCTTATTGACCACAACTCACCTGTCTGTGACGTCACGTGTTGCACCACTATTGTTCATTTTATACCTTGAATGCATGAATCGGGTAAAACACAGAAATGTTTCTCACGAATATGTTTCTCGATCCGTTCGTTGTTTCGGCGCTTCCGCTATAGATGTGGTTCAAATGTTGTTTTCTAATAGTATTTTTCGATTCGTATGATTGAAATGCCGATTTTGCTTGACTGATTTGTTTGCTTCTTTGTCTCTTCTCTTCTTGCTTGCAGTGGATGAAAAATCCGAACAACCGAAGGCCGACAAACGCTTATCGAGGGAATTGCGAGATTCGGAAGGTAGGTGAAATCAAATATGCACTAAAGTGATTATCACATCTAGGTAGAAAACATCGCATGGAAGTAGGTATTCATCATGCTAGTGACGTTATTTAGACATATTTTAGAGGATGATTTCCCTAACCCGAGCTAAGAGTTTAGGCAAATTGACGTTTGAAACTCTGTTTGTCCTTTTGATAATTCATCCCTGAATTACTTTAATCAGCAATGTCGCAGTACAGGCCCATGAACACTGCATCCGTTAGTGACAGCAGAATCTATTATCTAACTGTCAGATTTGCCACAACGTACATATAGTGAACAGATGCAGTGTGAGTGGGTCTTAAGGGGGTGTCAAAATCAACCCTTGTCGCCATTGGCGTGGCTAAAGTGGCGCTAAAGAGTTTTTAGCTAGCAAATTTTCCACGGAATTTATTCGATTGACAGGAGGAGATGCAGTAACTGAGCTCCAGAATTCAGATAATGTTTAGCAGTCAGAGATCTGAAAAGTTTTACAAATTGACAGAACTTTAGAAATGTTATGATTTACAGAATCATGAAAACATTACAAGGCCGTTAGGCCGAACGATATAAAGCCAAGTAGGTTCCTCCTCTTTTGGTTATTGCGTCCCCACTGACTTTACACTGGGTTTCAACTTAGTGCTCTTTGATCATTTTACATTACTATTATTGTGTGACACGTGTGACACGTGTGACTCTTTGCCCAGGGAAGTCGAAAAATTGTTCAACTCGAAAAATTCCTAGAGAATTGAACCCAGCCTCCTTCAGCATGGTCTTGCTGTAAAGCTGCACCTTTACCGACTGAGCAAAAGGAGGTCCCTGTGATCAAGGGGAAGACTAATCGAAATATTATAGTTGTAGTAATTTTAAATTTCTTAAAAATAAATCAATAGTTGGGCCTTGGAAAATAGTCAAAGCTCTTGAACGTGCATGAAGTTCAGTGTTCGAAAAATCATTCTCATTTCTCATTAATTGAGCTCTCCAGGGGGAAAAACTCGCGTACGAATCTACAAACCAAAACTCACGCTTGAGATCCTCATTCAACCTCATCCTCATTACGCAAAAAAAATAATTTAATGTTAAACTTGTACACAGCAAAAAAATAATTTTAATATTACCAAGAGGATGTACTTCAATCATGTCCAAAATTATATGTTATTTTAATGGCCACAAAAATAAACAAATGTAGTAAAAGCAGCGTGATGTCAGTGTGGCACTGTATTAATAACAATTTTGTCCTTTTTGGTAAGTAATATTACACCATATTTTCAACACGATTGAAGTGCATTCACTTTGATGTGATATTAAAACTATTTTTTTGCTGTGTAGAAAATGCTCAAATGTCACTTGGTAGCACACACTTGTATGTTTTTTTTTTTCGTTTTCCATGGAATAATTAAAAAATTAACGCTTAGAACCTTAGACGCTTAGAATACCAAATATAGAGCAATGAATTTTTGAACCATAAATCTCATTGGTGAATATTGAGTTATAGATTGTAGGTGAATAAACTGATGCGTGAGATTTGAATTTTTGATTTTTTCCCGAACACTGAATTGAGCTTACTGGAATTGTTGTAAAAAGAATGTCTCTGAGAATTGGTATAATTCCAAAAGTATTCCGAAAACAACTAACTTGTGGAATGTATTCTTAAGGAATTCCGAGGAGAAGGCCAAAGTATTTCTCAAATAAATTCCATGGGCTTTGTGAGAAGAACTTCAGTTGAATTCTATGGAGAACTCCAAGGTAGCTATGAGTATAATTACATGCTAATTCCGAAGAGAATTCCATGCGTTAGTGAGGAGAGGTCCAGGATTATTTTAAGGAGAGTTGTAAAATAAATGCTGATGATAATTCCAAGCGAATTCTGACAACAATTCAATGAAAATTCAGAGATAACCTTTATCGGAATTCTGACATACATTCCAAAAGTATTGTGATACGAACTCTAAGGAATCTGAATCTGAAGACAACTATCATTGCATACTGGGATTTTCAGCTACCATGTCACATATCTGAATTAATCACATCTTTCGTGCAGTTTAAAATGACATTTCCTATCACTCGAGCTTTACCATGAACTTCGTCAAAGACTCGATTAAGCACTCGGTGCAGGCTTATTAATGCAACGTTCATACTGTAGTTTGTGCGACAAAGTAAAAATCTCAGCATAACGATGCTACCGAGCATTCGTTCCAAGATTCTGCGCTGTAAAGTGTCTGCGCTCAGTGTCTTTTCAACTGTTGCCGATACAAAAGGCAGCAGTAGCTGTTCTCTCGGCGTGGATCAAGTGTTCATATAGGCAGTAGAGGCTATTGTCCCAAGTGCTTTGTTCATAGCCTGCACCTCAATCGGTCGGCGAAGCAAAATAAAATTTGATGATTCCTGGAATTGAGGTCAACAGCACAGTTCGTTTTAAAAAGAACTACAAGACCATCCTTGGGCAAAATTGCCAATTTCGCCCAGACGCTAGAAGCAAGTTATCGGATATCGGAGCAGAAACACCGACAAACCGCCGTGACAGCTCATACAAGCAACATTCGTGCCCAAGACGCCATATTTAAAATACGTTAAACGCTACCGCCATCTACTCGTCCGATCGTGCCGTATAATGAGTAAGGAAACGAACCCACGTAGAATTCATATTGCCTTGGTTTGCTTCTCAAATCGTTTGACAGATCTGATCGCCCGTTTGAAAGTTCGAATCGTTCGTTTGACAAATCGAATTGTGGACAAACGAAATGCTGCTGTGACATGTCGGTTCGTCGGTGTTAGAAAGCCCTATTCATCAAGTTTAAGTTAGAAAAGTCTGCGAGTATATGATTTGCCACCTGAGGTCCCAGATAATGCTCTAGCATTGGAGTTGGGAAAATACGGAAAAGAGAAGCGTGCCGTTCAAAAATTCCCTGCTGTAAAACTGTACATTCACCATCTCATGTCACTGTGTAGTGGTAAGCGTGATTGCCTCTCACCGCAAAGGGTCTGGGTTCAATCCCAGTCGACGCCGCCGGGACTTTCTGAGGCATACAATCCTTGATCACGCCTTCGGAATGGAAGTAAAGCCGTTGGTCCTCGGCGTCGGTAGCATTAGTACTCAGTACGCCTCCGAGGAAAAAAAAGAAGCACTCATAAATATTGTTTCTCATAAATATTATTTTTATTATGAAATTATGAATTATTTTTCGGATCTGGCATTTGAACGTTTGAGCCTTAATAAATAAATTCATTGAAAAAAAATTGTCCTCGATGAGCGGAGCCCTTAAAGTGCCTCTCCTAGTTCGAAGGGGCTTCTAATCGATCAACTGGTAACGACTTTAATAGGAGAGGAGAAGAACAAGGTAGAATCCTCAGAGCAAATCGGTGTTGAACGGAATTAATTATCTCAGCACCATTATCGCAGTTTGGATTCCAGACCGTGAATAGGCCACATCAAGTGATTTGAGACAGTAGATGTCGGACAAATTGCGAAGCGAAATGTTGACAATGTACGAGATGTGTTGCTTGTCCGTAAGTTGGGAATGGACCACTTTGTCAAGCAGTTCTGGAAGGAAAAATTTCAAAGTATTGAGAGTTGGTTGGAAATATACTAAAATCAACATGATGCTTTTAGTGCGATAATTTATTAGCTAGATAAAGTTCTGAAGAGGGTAGGTTGATAGTTCCGCTAGAGTGTGGCAGTGTGAAAATTGAATAGAAGTCGAAATTGAGCGAAGGGCCATTAATGCGACAGCACTAGTCAAACACACACTCCTTCACCTTTACCTAGCTCATACATTAATGGATGAGAGGACTTGAGGTTTTTCCTCAAATCCACAGGCCGCTAGCTTTCTCTAGTTAATAAATGATCGCACTAAAATCTTCATGTTGATATTAGTATAGCATTTCCAACCTAGTCTGAAAATCGTAAACTTCACGCTGGGTATTCAAAATATTGTATTATTTCGAAGATCGATTTTAACTGCTCGAATGAAGTGGTTAATCATCAAAATGACTCCCAGATCTTTCACATGACTCACGCGTTTGATTTTCGATTATTGTGCCCAGAAGTTTATAATCAAATGTGATTGGTTTTTTCTTCCGAGCAAAAGTGATTACTGAACACTTCGCAGGATTAACCACCATTCGGTTAAAATTTCACCAGCTAGAAAAGGTGACGTTAAACGAAGTGACTGGCGTCAATCGAACGGATCCAAAAGAAGATTTTAAGATCATCCGCATACGATAGTCGCGGTAGTCAGGTGACTTCTTTGAGGTAATTCTGATGTGGCTACACTCTTAGAAATAGCTAATTTTACACGTGGCGGAATAGTGGAACATAAACAAACATTTAATGTAAAATTAATTGCTCAGAGACCGAAACATATGTCTGCCGATGAAAATCACATTTGATTCAGCGGAAATTCGCATATTATGTAATATAATGTCATGAATGTCAGTCGTATATGTCAGTCACAGGACACCGAAATATGCGTTTTTCGTAGTGTGTAGGATAAATAATCATTACCACGTCCAGTTGCATTGGTACACTATGTGAGAGTGTGATACTGAAAATCCGAGTACTACAATTTGGTGGATAAAAGTAGTTTATGTTTTTACTGCAAAGATGGCGCAGCGATACAAACTTTTTTAATTCGTAAGATAGAGGTTTGCTGTCTTCGGTGTACATATTGTTTGAATCAAATCCAAATACATCAAATATATCTCAATATACGGAATTAAAGTCTATTTGATGTAAATTATGAATAATTGATGACATTTTGCGCTCCCTTGCGCATTTTTTAGAAAATTCATTCAGAAAATCATGTATTTTCTTAAATTCTATGGATAAACATGACATCTTAGTAAAAATAATAACATTGATCTTAAAAAGATTAGATTGATCAGTACAGATGGAGAAAAAATATAAAAGTATTCTTCTGAACGATCGTTCAAAATATAACGTGAATTTCAGGCTAATGTTATAAAACTTCGAATATCTCAGTTGTTTGAAGATGTACTGCTTTTATGTGTTGGGCAACTATTCGTAAAATTTTACGTTATACAACTTTGCAAATTAGCCGGCGCCGGTGGTGTAGTGGTAAGGTGACTGCTTTATCACCCCAGTGGGTCTGGGTTCAATCCCAGCCGTGGCCGGTGGGATTTTTCTGATGCATAAAAATCACTGGTCACGTCTTCCTTCGGAAGAGAATTACCCAAGTAACAATCTAAATGCTTGGAAGATTTATTCTTATTTTATCATTGTTTTATCATAGCATCCCTTCCAGCCTGTGGTTGTATTACGGTTTTGTGTGCTTGTCATAAAATCAGGCCGCCAAGTTGTCTATAAAACTGTTTTATGACTACTAAATTAAAACTCAGACTTCATAGTTTTAACGGTAGCTGTAAGGTGGTTCTGCATCACTACTTATAACTGAAGAATAAAACCAAAACAAAACATACAATTATGTTTTATGGTACACTTTTTATGACCGATATAAAACTTGAAGCAGTCTTAGACCTTCATTAAAGCTTCATTACAACTATCATCTTTATCAGAGGCCTAAGATTCACAGATAAGAAATATACTGCTACAACAAAAAATACTCTGAAATTTTTTGTCATTATAAAAAACAAATCTATTCAGATATATGAAATGAAAACCCCTTCAGTGCTTCTGAACACGATGAAGATGAGACGATCGACAATATGAAACTCCTGGAGGAACTACAGTTATACGATCCCTACATAAGGCACAGTGCGGTGAAGGAGCTCTTAAAAATATTGAACAAGCGGCTTTCCGATACACTTCCGAAAGATCCACGAACCCTTCTTAAAGCAACGCCGACAGTTTCACTAAATCCGTTTGGAGATGGCCAGTATTGACATCACGGCTTTAAACCTTGTTTTGAAAAAGCTTTTAGTGGATCCAATAAGCATTTCTTACATCTTGATTACAAGCGAAAATAGGAGGATCGCTTGGAATGTTGACTTTTTGCAGGTGGTCATGGTTTTGTTGCAAAACAAAGATTCGCTGTAACGAATAAAACCAGCAAGCTAGTTATATAGCTTAAATATAACTTAACGCTCTCAATTTGGACTACGAAATGCTAAGATACAACCATTAGGTTTATGTTATGCTATAGAATTCCAATCTAGGAGAATATGTTATATTGAGGTATTTTTAAGGAGTAACAAGTTATAACGAAAAAAAATGTCGCCGTATGAACAAATTTCACACAGTATGAATAATTACGCTTTAATTGATAGGCAATAAAACACTTTCATACATCTATGTATAATTAAATAACATGTGACTGGTTATTGCTCAACAGTAGTAACAGTTTTGTACTAAATAGATAATCTTTGAATGACTCTTTAATGCATGGTGCTAATGCAGACAAATTAAAAATATCCCTATATTTTAGTATTCATATGGCGCACTAAATTTATGCTCCTATTTGGTATAATAATCACCATAAATATTGCACGGCATGCTGTGAAGCATATACAGATTGGTTTAAAATTATAATAAAGTCGTCTTATTTTCAATGTACAATAATATCAGCCATTATTACCAACTGACAAGGATCATGATTTCACATCAAACATCGAAAGAATAAAACCACAATAAAATATTTCTCAATATTAACTATCATCCAAAAACCCCAACTTAAAACCTTCAAAGTTGTCAAAATGTTTTGCGTATCATGTTTTATCAACTTCTTCAGGAGCGATTTATGCGGTTGTAATATAGTTTTATGGTAGTCATTAGAAGGCTGTTAAAACTTTCTGACCTGGAGGAGGTTTTATGTTTTCATTTTTAACAATCACGTCTAGAGTGTGATAAAACTGACATAAATCCTATGCTCCTAAAGTAGTTCGCATATCAAGTTTTAATGACTGCATTAAAACTGGGCCAATTGGCCATGACATGGCTGTATTGCGGTTCTCAGGAGATTGTTAAAGCAATGTGGTCGTCAGTGAAGGTTTTATAATTTGGTTATATCAACTGCTATAAAACTTAAATAAAACAAAAATTGTTGCTTGGGTAAAGCCGTTGGTCCCGGCCCATGAGTGTTTGAATGGGTGCGATATCCTACGTAGGTGTGAAAGCTGCCATCCTGCACATTTGATTGCCGTCAATGTATGGCAATCGGTGTCCGTCGGTGATTGGCACTAGATTGCGGAACAAAGACCGACGTTAATTTAAAAAAAAACAACTTTGCCGAAGACAGCAAACCGCTACCTAGCAATTTTTTTTTTTTTAATTTTTTTTTTTTTTTTTTTTTTTTTATTATAGTCACTATAATAAAGTGTTACTTGGGTCATTCGTGACTTGTCCGGGGGTGAGATTTGAACTCGTGACTTTGGCGTGAGAGGTATGGATGTTAACCACTACGCAGGGGTCGCCCCCACCTAGCGAATAAAAAATATGTATCGCTGCGCCATCTTTGCGGCCAAAATTTTACCTATTTTTATCCACAATTGGGATTTAACTAATTAATTTTATAAATGTGTGCGCTCAACAATGTGATTCCACGATAATTATCCACATTCCGTTTGCTTACCTTTCAGTTGGATATTCTCAGTAGATGATGCAACGGTACCAGCAAGCTAGCAGGCACTATGCTTTTTCAGAAATACTGACGGAACATCATCGGGTTCTAATTTGAAAGATGACTTGAGTTGTAATACGGCTGATGTAATCATCTCGACGTTCATATGTTTTGCACCTACACGGAGAACAAATTCGTTAAGTTAAGATAACAATCCTAATAGTTTCTTTCACATGAAAAAATATTGTTGTTTGAAAGAAACCTATAGTTATTTCAACATTAATTTGACCGTCAACTCAATCATATCTACCTAATAGATTCAACTGTTCATCTTATACTCAATTCAACTATAACTTTGATCAATTATAACAACCGCCAAATGTAATTTATTTATATACTTTGGTTTCAAGTGATCATCATAAATCCACATACTTTTAACTTGTGATGCGTAGAGCAGGCGATAAGATAGCTGGCTCTCACGCAGATGAACACGGTTCAAATTTAAGTTGAATGTTCTTGGTCACTTTTGTTATGATTTTGCAGTTGTGTTTTTGAGATCGATAAAGAAGCAACACAAACCTCCTTGATATGTCGATAATGAAGAGCAGTTCGTTTAATAAACATTGTAAAATTTTGCTTTCCTAACAATAGTTTTCTTGAATCAACTAAAGCATAGTTGTATTTTGGAGTTTGACGTTTGTTCATCTACTGAAAAATATAGTTGAGCCAACCGAGGAGCCAACTATGGACTATAGTTGTTGCCCTCTATATATAGTCAAATCAACTATAGTTTCGGGTTATCTCTAAAACAATTGAACAATATAGTTATTTTGACCGCTATAATTTGTTCTCCGTGTAGTGTTTGACACCCAGTGCGCTGCTCATTTGCGTAATTCCAGATACACTTTAGGTGCGACTAGAGTCTACTCTGATTCCTTCGTTCACATCGCAAGTAGTATCGCCAACTAACTTGAACTCATGTTGGTCAGTAGTGGTGTTTCAGAAAAAGTATACTATAAGCATAAGCATAGATACCTGGTGAATTTTCTCAATGCGGTCCTGTTGATCGATTTCGACTTTCGCAAAGTAATTGTCTTGCGAAGAAGGCAGAAAGCGATTTTAAGTGGATTGTGTACTTCGTGTCACTCGTTGCCTGATGTAGAAATATGTCAGATCTTTCGTCACCCTCACTGGGTTTTAATAGCGTCATAAGTGATCAGTTGTGATATGAGGGGCTCGGTGACCATAGAGCGACCATTTTGAGCACTGTGCAGAACTGGGTTCAATTTCTAGCTCCTTCATATAAACACATCATTCCAATTCAGCGTATCGTTTACCAAAACGAACCCAACCCTTTTATCCAACATTCCAGTGTAGTGATAGGCGATTCATCGGCTTCCAACAAAGCGAGTATAATATATTCCAACACATTTCCTTATAGAATTCGGACGCCTCTGGCGCTGGTATTGCTTATTTTAAAGTTTAAGATCACCAATTTTCACACATTAAGAATGATTACTGGTCCCATGCATCATGTTGGTTCTCTGTGCAATTGTTGATGAACTTGTAATAACGGAATCTAAGCCGCGGTCTATCACACTTATACTCATACTCAAAGGCATCAAATGTCAATTAGTCAATTCTGCTCGCTCGCCCACGCAAACTAATACCATCAGGGATATTTTCACCATGGTGGTGTTAGTGTGCGTGAACCAATAAGCAGTTTCAAGAAATTGACATTTGAAAACATTGACTTTGTTTACAACAGAACATACGACCATTTTTCTGTTCCTCATCCTTGGTTTCTTCGCGAGCTTTCAGACAAAATGATTTTATTTATGTTCTGCGTACGAACTTTGCATTTCATTAATTTATTTGTATGGTTTGACTTTGTGACAATATTGAAAAATAGATATAAAAATCACACAACCATATTTAATATCTCCCTATGTAATTATAAATTTTCTTTCGTTTCAGGGGAAAACCGCGTCACAACGCCCACCGCCATCGAAGCTGTGCTTCCTTGGAAACGTGTCGACGAGGACGACGAAAATGGTGCTATTAAACAGAACGAATTCCCATCGTGGGCTTCAAACAAGGAGTATTTAGCTTATAATTCACCAAGTGCAACATTTTTAGGTAAGTCCCTGTGGCACGCTCTCGGACTGTTTCCGGAACTTCCGGCGTCGGCGAAGAGCGAACCACATCGCCTGTTACGGTAACAATTGTACCGGAAAAAAATAACAGATTCAACGAAATCTCTCCGGGATTAAATGGGAACATCAACCCACCTAAACAGGGTTGCTTCTACTCACTTTGCTATAAAAAATGTTTTCGTAATTATGGAATCATTGGAAGCTATAATGATATTTTGTACTTGTAAATTACAAAAAGAGAATGTAAAGTATGTGTTTGACACATAAAACCTGTCAATTTCACTTAAATAGAGTCGCAATCAGCCATTTAATGATTAGTGAGCGCTCACTCTGAGTAGTTGCTCATGATTCATAAAATCGCTTATTGTGACCCACTGAAAGCGAAATTGACAGGTTTGATGTTTCAAACACATACTTTACAACCTCTTCTTGTAACTTACTACTAAAAAATATCATTATTGCATCCAAAGATTCCATAATTCCGAAAAACATTGTTTATAGCAAAGCCAGCTAAAGCCACACTGCATCTAAAGAACCATTTCCTTCTCCTCTCCTGAGTCATCCTGCTTCACAAATCACAATCAATGCAATCAAGCAATTAGGTCTGCGTCTGTAACATCTATTGGCGTGCCTAGGAATCTCTTGTTCTACCTTTCTTGCTGTCTTGATAGGTGTTTCATAATGTCTATTCTTGCATGACAACTTCCACGATAATTTTACATTTTTCAATATCAAATTTAAGTTTAAAGTTTACCTTTATTTATTTTAAGTTCGAAAAAAAAAATCACTCGCACTTATCAAATACACACTCAAACATACACTCTAAGAAGACTTACCGAAGGACCGTTTGATGATAGAACCAACAATAATTGTCTCCTACGTGTGAATATTTATTAAGGCACCGTCTCAGTCCCGTCCAGTCTCAGCACCTTGGTCATCCATAGATAGTTATGATTTTTCCAGTCGAAATTGCATGTTCACAAACAAAAAAGTCGCATCCTTAAAGAAGAAAATGGCAACGAATCCAAAATTAACTGGCTAATAGTTTGTAGAAGAGTTTGCTTAAGCTTTTTCTTCACTTTTCGTTCGTATCATATGTCTTATCTGTCCCGAAACTGTGTCTACTACCGCTACTGCTACTACTACTACCACTACTACTACTACTACTACTACAACTACTGCTCTACCATAAAAACCGTACAATCCATACCGGCGCCGTATCACTGAAGAACTGCTGCTTGCAAGCCAGGAATGAGTTCGTCACGAAAGGCGTCACGAATGTCGAGACGTCGAGGTTAGATTCAAATGCGGAGTGAACAGTGTGTCCTTTTTACGTAAACTTGTCTTTAGCCGTGCAGAAATGTCCTTTGATTGATTTGTTGATTTATTTTTCTGGTTAGAGTCCACGTTTGGAACTTTGCATGATTTTTGGTTTGTTTTACAGTCCTATCGTCTTGTTTGCCGTATGATTTTGTATAATGTGGAAATGTGTGTGAAGTTTGCACAGCACATTGTATTACCATCGGTCGGTTAATATTTATTTTCGATTCCATCACCAAGTGGTTGAACTGAGCTAGTAGGTTAAAAAAAGAAATCCAAAGAGGTTTTTTTTCATATTAAATATTTTTAGGTCAAACAATACGAAAATAGTATGCCATATTCGCATTAGTTCGCAAGTTATCATCACTATAGAAAACAAATTTTGTTTCAGCATTCTATTGTACTAAAATATAGAAGGTTCAGCTCTTTAGAAAACTTACAGATCCCATCAGGGATGCCAGATTTGAAGACATGTCTTCATTTTAAAGACATTTGAAATTCGATCATATGACAAAATGTCGAATGACGAAATGCCGAATGACAAAAGGAAGAAAGGTCGAATGGACAAAATGTCGAATGACAAAAGGACGAAAGGACAAAAGGTCGAATGATGAGAAGGTAGACAAAAAGTCGAACGGAAAAAAGGTCACATGACAAAAGGTAGAATTTACAAAAGGTTGAATGATTAAAAGCAAGACAAAGTTCACATATGAAGTAACAAAAAAAAAACAATTTGAAACATAATAAAGTTATTCCAATAATGTTCCGAAGGATTCAACCAGAAGTTATAAGAGATGAAACGACGGAAAACAATAATAATGGGGTATTAATGCCCAGTGTCATCAAACATAAAACATTATTATATTAACATTTTATTAACATTCATTGGGTCATTCGACCTTTTGTTCCTCTTTGAACTATTCTACGATTTGTTCATTCATCCTTATGTCTAGCTTATCATTTGACCTTTTGTCACCATTCAACGTTTAGTCCATTCGACTTATTGTTCCTCTTTGGGCATTTTGATCTTTTGTCTCTCTTTGTGTCAATCGACCTTTTGTCCCTTTTTGAACAATTTTATTTTCTTTACTATCGTGATTTTTAGCCTAAGCTAGTTCATCCCGTAATGTTTGAAACCATTCGATCTTTTATCCCTTTTGAACCGTTCGACCTTTTGTCCCCCTTCCCATCATTCGGCCTTTTGTCCATTCGACCTTTTGTCCCCTTTCTAATCATTTGAACTTTTGTACCTTTAACCTTTTGTACTTTCAACATTTTGTCCTTTCGGCCTTTTGTTATTCGACGTTTTGTCTTTCGACCATTTGCACCTGAAATTCTGTGGTCATTTTTTCCTCGCAGACATTTTTTAGATAGGGGAATTTACGTATTCTCGGCAACCTAAGCAGCGACCTTCTTTCTATAGTCTTTTTCTCTATGGAACGCACACATATGCAGTATTGGTTTGTTTACAATCTTTTGCTGCCAGCTGCTCTAACAATTTCAGTCGAAAGAATTGTCAAAAACTGTTTTGAAACGCTTTTACAAAGCTCCAATCTTCTCTAGTGAGAGCGAGTATTGTCGGCAACCAGTTTTTCTTCGGCAACCGTTCCATTTGAACTGCATGTAAATCTGCTGTTCTATTATCGGCAACTCGAAATCAGGTACAATTTGTAGTGCGTGTGTTTTATTTCAAGAAAACCCTGCTAGATTGCTTTTTCTCAGTGGTAAAAATATAGTCAAATTGAAGATGAAAGCATAAAGAATCGTTTGCATGCATTCAGCGAAGCGTTTTCGTAAGAAAATCCAGTGAAAATAGTGTTTCAATTTGGGTTGCCGAAAATAGTCTGTCATGCCGAAGCCGTAATTTCCCCTATTTAATGTTTTGTGACATGTATAAATTGAAGAAGCCTTCTGAAGGCTTTTTTAAATGTTAACTAGACATGCGAAGATTTATCTTTTCTGAAGGATGATTTTGACTGCATATGTTAAGCTCCTTCTTGATAATGTTGATTACGAATAATGTAACCAACATGTATTTTTTCAGAATAATACTTGATGGTCGATCAATTCACACAAATTTACTGAAATCTTCAATTAGCTGAAGTCTTTTTGAATACTTCCTGATCAACCTGGCAATATCTGAGCCTCGTTATTTGAATTTTTCAACAGTTGAAGATCTTCAGAATAATACGTGATCAACCTTAAGTATTAAAAAAAAATATCCAGTGGACTTTACTGATATCTTCAATCAGCTGGAGATCTTTTGAGTAGTCCCTAATCAACCTGCCGACTAGGAAGAATGTCTTAAAATAGTGAACAATCTGAAGCCTCTAGAAAATATTCAGAAATCTTTCCCATTAAACCTGCTGTTTTTTGAGCAGTTGGAGATCTTCAGAATAAGCTTCATCAACTTGAAGTCTTGGAAAATCACAGAAAAAAAAATTTAGATGACATTATTGAATTGTTTTTATTCAACTGGATAAAAGTCCTGACTTAAATACGTCCTGCCCAATCTTGAAGGAATATCCTGAAGACTGTAAAATATATAAAGCAACAAATAATTCACATGATGGGAGAATGTCTGAGAAACGTCATTTATATTTTAGGAACAGTTTTAGATCATCAGAATAATACGTGGCCAACCTGAAGTCTGGAATAAAATATACAGAAGACTGAACTGAAAGCTTCGACATTTGAAATTATAAACAGTTGCAGATCTTCAGTTTGAAAGTCACGAAAAAAAATCCATCGGACTTAGTTGATATCATATCGAAAATCCGTGTATATCAAGAAAGTTCTGTAAAATTCCACGCAAAATTCCTTAAATTCTACGTACTTCCACAAAGTTACTTGAACAAAAACTGAATTACGTGAACTCAAACGAAGCTCCCTGGCCTTCATTCCAATCCATTGAGCTTACCGGAAGTTATTAGTGCTCATATAAACTTCCATGAACTTGTAGGAAGTTCTGAAAATTTTGGAAAATGCTGTCAACTTCCAAGAAGTTTCCTGAACTCATAAGATTTTCCATAGCTTATAGAAAATTTTCTAAGCTCCTAGAATGTTTACTGAATTTCTAGCATGTTTTTTGGGCTTGTTTTTTATAACTCATAGAATGTGCGCTGAACATCTACAAATTGACCTTAACTTCTATAATAACTTATCAGCTTCTTCGAAGTTCCCTGAACATGTACCAACTTCCTTAAGTATTAATTATACTAATATTGTAAAACAACAATGAACTTCTGTGAACTTCTGGAAAGATTCCGAACCTTTTCTACGAATATATTGCTGTACATCTGGGCAGTTCCCTGAAATTAAACAAAGTTTGCTAATATGAAGCTCTGTGAAGCACTACAAAGTTCCCCGAGTTTTTACGAAATGTCCTGTATTACGACCAACCCTGAACATCTATGAAGTCCTTAAAGTTGTTCTAAGTTCGCTGAATTTATAAAAAAAAAACCCTTAACTTCAACGAAGTATCCCGGATGTCTACGACATTCATTAAATCTCAATAACGTTCACTAAATATTTACAAAGTTGATGGAAATCTAGGAAGTTATTTGAATTTCTATAAGATTTGTTAAAATTCTACAAAATTCTACAAAGTAAGCTGGACTTCTACAAAACTTTCTGGGCTCCTTGAAAGATAACTGAACTTAT